TTTGTTGCAATGGGACATCAGAAAGGTTTGGAATTTTTGGTTTGGTCCTATGGTAGAAGAAGAGGTTGCGCCTCATAAGTGCCTAGATGCTTTCTGTTGGATTCCTGCAACGGTCTCATATTCAACAAGAAAGATGCATGTATTGACTTTGTACGCAGCAACCACCAATGGCAGGGCCATTCATTCACAGCACGTATGTCAACCAGTGTTTGCCCTTAGTCTTTTGTAACATCAAAATTGAACCACATGATGCATATTTCCACTTAATATTTGTTAAATTACCTAATTTGTTCTCCCGCCAGTGATAAGATTTCAGAGTATTGTTCATTTATTTCCCACTTTCCCACTTTTGCGAAAGCGAATTTTATTTTAACATTAAAGGGATTTTGTTTTTAAAATAGAAGGGAGAAGAAGCTAGTGGTCATTCTCGAAGAAGAGATAAAAAGCCAGTGTTCAAGGGTGATCGAGGTAGTGAAGGTTCTTGCCTTCCCTTCCCGTGCTAGTTTCTGTTGTACAATAATGAATGACTTTTGATGTCAACTTTCACACGGGTGTTATAAGTACGAGTTTTATCATAACTTTTCCTTCGAAGCTCAGCCCTGCTTTACCCGTATTTCAAAACATTTCGCAATTTCACTCGTCGAACGATGAAAGGATAATAGGAATACATAAGCACTTTTGATTTCAGAACACTCCACAATGGTCAGTACTTGGCAGAAAAAATGACTTATTGGATAGTACAAAATGGTACACACCCTTTCCATCGCTGTAAGAATACATAATTGCTCCGTCGACAACTGAGACGCTAAGATGCTTGTTGGACTTTGGGTCGTAATCATTGGCGAGATAAAGTAGTATATGCTCATTTTGAACATCATGAGGTTTTACAGCTATGGAAATCTGTAAAATTGATAATTGGGTAATACTGCATCATCGTAAATAAACATGCCTCAAGTTGATCGAGATTTTTAGGACCGGGTATCGAAACAAAAGAGGTGTCTTGTTGGAAACCAAGAGCGTCAACTGCTGATTCGTTAATTATTTCGCATCTGAAAATTGAAGAGAAGTAGGATTACAGTATGGTAGTAAAATGTTCTTAATCGTGAAAGTTCACCTCAACCCCGATGTGTTTAACGGGCAAACACATTGCCATGTATCATCACGTTCCACGCAAATACCACTGTTGCAGTCTTCTGGAAAAAAGAAAAGAAAAAAACTATCTTCAAATGATTATAGAGGAAGCTTTGACAAAAATGTGTTACCTCCTTTGCACTTCGATGACCGAATCTGGCAACGGTCCCCTGTGTACTCCGGTGGGCAAATGCATACAAATCCCTCAAAAGCAAACTTATTAGCACGATGATATAACAACATTAAGAGATAGATTGCTAGCTCGATTGCTCCCAATCGTTTACAGTCTTTATCTAAATTCATTTTCCTTAGAATAGAACTTTTGGAGAATCTCAGTTTGAATAGAATTTGGACTCAAGCTTCTTCAGAATTCGGCTGTACTTGCACTCAGAGTGTTAGCAAACTCTAACGAAGGTTACAAATTAATAAGAAGCAACGGACATCGTTTCAGTTGAAATCACATTCGCAATCAGCATATAAACAAATAGGCACCAAACTCCAAACAGCACTCTACAAAGAAACAAAAAACCAGCTAATCGATGGAATCAATTGATATTTAAATGTTTTTCATATTCGCATAAAGCATGCTGACAAACATTTATACACCTTATTTTCAGCACCTTAAAGCAAAAGGTGCATATCAATAAATAATAAAATCATTTGCCTTGTGTCGCTTGTCTATATCATTCTTGGGCGTACCACCCTGTGCGGTCGTATCCCTACTCTGCTCAACGATTGACCTTCTTGCAAGGGTTGAGGAAGTGGAAGCGCTGGGATGCCGCTATGGTCGGAGGAACTTGGTGGAAAATTTGATTGCTACTCAGCTACATAAATGTTGCTAAGCAAATATCTGATCGACTTCT